CCTCCCACCCCAAACTGGACGGAACACCTGGTCCCGGTCGCAATTGCGACCCTGGTAGTTCTGCCAGTGATGAAATGCTTTAAAGTGTTATTAAACCCTTAGGTTTTGTTGCATATATGCACTGGCGGAACTACCAGGGTTGGTATGCACAGCGAAAAATGCGATTGGCCGCAGCGGCGCTGATCGCACCTGTCAGCGATCCCTCTCTCTCCTCCCGGCCGCTGCAGCTTCAGAGTGGCCAGGAGGAGAGAGAGGGAGAGCAGACAGGTGTGATCCAAGCAGAGGAGAGGCAGGTAAGTTCCTGCCCCCCTTCAGAAAGGTCCCGCCCCCACCCTTCACGCCGTGTTGAGTAGACCTTGAGGGGAGAGCTGCACTCGCAGCCCTTCCTCTCAGCTGTCACAGGAGTTCTAGCACAGTGCTGTGCTAGAACTCCTGTATTGAGGGAGACAGATTCAATAAGGAGAACCTGTCACCTCCAAAAGGCTATCACACATGGGGCTTGTTAACTTTATTGCTATCACACAAAAGCTAAGTGAAAAAAATTGATAAATTATCAAATAAATAAACATTTATGAAAAAATAAGTAAAAAATTATAATGAAAATTATAAAAAGTAAAAGATAGTAAAATATAAAAAAAAAGAACAAAATGTATAAGAGAAAAAAAAGTTTTAAAATAATGGTTTCTTGCACCGGGGCCCTGAGGTTTCTAGTTACGCCTCTGCTTACACAAGTTTCTACATTTCTTTGGAACCATTTTTATTCTAATTTAGATGTTTAATGTCTGTTAACAACTTGGGATTGGACACAGAAGTAGAAGGTTCCTTTTACTCTTACTCACCTCTTTGTATACTCTAAAATAATCAAAGATAATATAAAAAAATACACAACTATAGAATAAATATTTAGTTTAGAATTAGCATAAGCTCACAGAAGACAGGTTGTGTCTCACACATTTACGGGTCTATTTATAATTGTTTTCAACCACGATTCACACATTTTCCAAATTTAACTCTAAAAAAAAATTTTTTTACTCCTGGATGAAAACATTTATATTTAAGCCCATTAGTGTTTACAAGGAGGTCATTTCAAATCTCGATGTGGAAAATGTTGATGTAATATATTTAGAATAATAAGAGGTTTTCCTATTTTACTCATTACAGTATTAACCCTTAGTTCACTTGAATAAGTAATTTCTCTTAGTTTTGTTATACAGTTTGTACATAAAGCTTTTCTTTACCTCCTATTTAGTTCATTTTAGTTTTTTGGTTACAAGTATTTTTATTGAAAGAAAAATAAAGTACATGTAAACAACAAGACATGCTGTATAATGAGATGCACTAAAGTGAACAGGAAGGGAGCAGCACGCACATCAAATAAAGTATGTGTTATGGACAAAACAACCGAGGTCGTCCGGGGGAAATGGGAAAAGGCATATGAAGGGAAGACACCTTAAAGTACAAGTATGAAGAAGGTAACGATGTGATAAAAAGAGGAGGGACACTAAACCAAGTCAGTACGTGCTACAGTTCTCGCTGGAAACTAATGTAAAAAGTCAGGTGTAGTGGGACTTTCTTTAAATCAGGGATGGAAACTTCCGGCCCTCCAACTGTGGTGAAACTACAAATCCCATAACTCATCTGTCTCTGGGAGTCATGCCTGTGGCTGTGAGAATCTTGCAATGTCTCATGGGATTTGTAGTTTCGCCACAGCTGTAAGGCTGGAGGTTCCCCACCCCTGTTTTAAATGGACAGGGGTGAAACAAGGTAGGAGAGAGAGGCAAAGGAGAGGCCAAGGGGAAAGAGGGAAATAAGTAGTGGTTACTAAGGTAGTGGAGAGTGAAATAAGACTAAGGACACAAAAATTACATTGTTCCTCGCCTGGGCAGCACCCAAGGTGGCAACAGCTCGCTGGGGAGGAGGATGGGAATGTACATTGATGGTTATAGGGCGGAATAGTGAGGGAAAGGGGAGAGCAGGTTTAGGAGGGGAGAGCAGCATAAGTTGCAGTATGTGTGAACCGGTGCCATCTCATCAAGGGTTTTGAGGTATCAGGTTATGTTGTCATTTGTATAGTGAATAAGGTCTTCCATCTCGGCTACTGCAGCAAGCCGTAAAAGCTATTCTCTACTTGATGGTGGACGTGGAGATTTCCAGTGTCTGAGAATTATGGTTTTTGTGGTGTTTAGTATATTAATTTACAAAGAAGTATTTTGTGATGCAAAGAGAAGCATAAAAATGGTAGAATAAGAACACGGCTGGTGTAAAAGCAGGAGAGGGGTGTCCGTAACAAGAGTGGTAAGATCATGTACAGCTGTCCAGAAGAGCTTTAAAACCGGGCAAGACCACCAAATGTTGAGGAGATCTCAGATGTCTTGAGAGTATCTCAAACAGGTTGCAAAGACGTCGAGGTGAAAACAATGGAGAACAGCTGGCGTTCTGTACCAGCGTGATCGTAGTTTTGTAGTTCGTCTCCTGAATTTGAACTTTGATGGAGCTAGCAAGAGTGTATTCATTTGTTCCCACTCCTCGGTAGATAAAGATTTGCCCAAGTCAGCCTCCCAGGCACGAGAAGATGAAAACCCGGACGGGGTGAGAGCTAAAGAGAGAAGAATAGATCTCCAAGATCAAGTGGGGAATAGGTCCCCAAGAAGTACATAATTCCCCAACCCCTTAAAGGGTCGAGAGAAGTAGTGTCTATGTTGGCTAGAATTTAAGAAGTGATGAATTTGGAGACATGTCCAAAAAGGCATGGGTCTAGGATCTCTGGAATTTGTCTTTAGGAGGTCACGAAACGAACCTTTAGCAGTGGAAAAAATGACAGGTTGGGTGTCGACTTCAGGTATGCAGAAGGGCTTGCACGTGATTGTGAAAATCTGTAGCATAGATACGATGGTGGGATGGGACAACAGTGGGGAATCCATGGCCATGGGAGTCTCGGACATAAGTTGCTTGACATGAATCCAATCTTTTTATAGTGATTGTATATTTCACTCTGATGCGGGCGAGATGAACTAAACGGTAATATTTCTGAATGTCTGGTAACCCAAGGCTACCAATTTGTTTCGGTGCTGTGGGAGTGGCCATAAAAACTTTAGCCTTGTTTCCCCAAAGGAAATTTTTAATAGAGGAAAAGAAGGTCCAGAGAGTGCAATAGGTATGGTCTGGAAGAAGTATAGGAGGCGCACTCATCTTTAAGTTCACAGCTTTTCTGAACCAGGAGATTAGTGACGCATGCCAGTCTTTCAAATCTGTTCGCAATTCGGAGAGTAAGGTCAGGAAATTAAGGGGATACATGTTGGAAAGGTCAGGTGGAAGCTTAATCTCTAAGGGTAGTAGTAAAGAGAAAAAAAGGGAAAATGCTTGCAGGAATTGACCATCTCATCCACAAGCAAGATATTAAGTGCCAAGGATTTCGTATAATCCCAGGCTACCCTGTTGAACATTTTTTTGTAACAGTTGACAGGAGGAAACCCGCAAGTCCGTGGCGTTTAAGCCAATAAATGAGGCATATCATGTTTATGGTATTGTCCCTAGATTTTTTTTTTCCAAGAACAAAGCCCGCTTGGTTACGGTCAGATAAGGTTGGAAGAAGAGGTAGACCAATTAGACCGTATTTCTCTTCCATTCATTGAAAGACGCAGTGAAGATCGGAAAATCACACCAATGGGTTATACTGCCACCTGCATGAGTAGGATGCTAGGCACCAAACACCAAAAACAGGCAGTTTTTCTATTGGAAAGAAGATGATGATTGGATCAAGAGGCATCATTTAAGGTAAGTCCTTAAAGCATGTGTGTGGGGGGGGGCGAAATGTGACTTTAAAGGAGAACTATGAGATGAGTGATTTCCACTCACCTCATAGTTCTAGCCGACCTGTGACTATGAGACTGTCACAGGTCGGCTCAGTAGATCGGGAGGTGAGCGAACACATACCAGGTTCGCTCACCTTCCAATCCTGTCACGGCTCTCTGCCGTGACAGGGGGAGGGGCTGGATTCCCCTCTCCCCGCTCCGATCTGCCAGCGCTGACTGGCGGAACGGACGGGGGAGGGGGCGGGTACAGCTGGCTCTGCCTCTAGATAGGCAGAGCCAGCTGTCACTCACGCAGCTGGGCGGATCCCGTCATCTACGTCGGGATCCGCTCCGGCTGCGGCGTCTCAGTATACCGCGAGCTGTAGCTCGCGGTATACTGAGCTTAGGGTAACGGGAGG